GAAACCTACAAAATGGAACAATATCTTTATCATCTATACATCTCCCAGGTTTAGTATCAAAAATATACAAAAAATAGCAGTGGTGAACATCTTTAATTCCAGCACTTGGGAGGCAGAGGCAGGCAGATCTCAGTGAGTTCAAGGCCAGCCTGGTCTACAAAAGTGAGTTCCAGGACAGCCAGGACGGCTACATACAGAAACCTTGTCTGAAAAAAAGAAAATAAATTATAAATTTCACAGGAATGATGAGGCTAGAAATAAACATTCTGAATGAAATAATCCAGACAACCATAAATCATATGCTTTTGTTTATGGATGTTAGCTGTGAATCCTCAGGTATTGGATTCAAATTGGAAATATTCACTAAGGTCAGGAAATCAGTAAGGGACCACAAGAGGGCTGATTTCAAGAGAGAGAAAAAAGCCATGGCATAGAGTATCAGACGTGAATAATGGTACAGGAAGGGGTAAGGACAGGATGAGAGGAAAAGATAGGGGAAGGAACATAGGGAAGGATAACTAACACTAAAGACATTTTGGAAAAGTCCTATTGAAAGCAGCAAAAGCTTTCTAAAATAAACACATACATGTATATAAAGAGTTTAATTAGAGTTACCCAAAACAGTGCAAAAATGCACCTATCAAACACACAATGGCAACAATGGATTGCCTCTTTTTTAGTGGTTGGCCAATGAAGTTCCAGAAATTCCCAACTATTACAGGCTATTTCCAAAGCTTTTGGTTGCTCTTCAAAACCTGAGAATACGACCCCATTTCTAAGGCATCACACACTTTTGAGTCATGGAACATGGAGAAATCAAGCTAGTAATTATCTAGAAGGTTCATCCCTATTAGCTAGCTTTTATAGTTCTAAAAGAGGATATGCACACTACCAGAAGAAAAAAATAATCATTTATCTTGCCTAGCTGTGACTCCTGAGAGATACAATGACTGGCCATCAAGACATAGCTAGGTGTGCAATAATGACATGAATATCATGGGAGTAACCAACCAAGTTTTGATTGGGTTTCAGGTGAGCTCCACGCATTGAAACTCATGTCTGACCCTGTTATCAGGATCAAGAATTTGTGGCTATACAGGTCCTCTAGGGAATAAACTTCTATTACTCTGTTAAATGTGCACATTATTAAACAAACTCCTGATGACTTATCATTGTACCATAGAGTAGTACATTTCTCAACCCTCATTAGAGGAGCTTTTTTTAAGTAGGTGGAGACTAACATAGAGACTCACAAGTGGTCAAGGTACAGAAATCAGAGATGGTAGAATGCTCAGCACTAAACGGGACATTTACACCACAATTCATCTACTCAAGGCTCTGGGAACATTGCCGATGATGGGGTTGACATATTTTAAGAACCAAAAGAAACAGTGTTTTCTGCATACAGCAGAAGATTTATACATATGAATTCATGGTGGTTGAGACAGCGTGCAGAAACTGAATGAAGCCAGACAAAATTCCAACATGGGGAGGGAGGCACACACTATGTCCCATCCCTAGCTAAAGATCTGTTGTCAATGAATAGCTTCTGGAAGAGGGAGAGTCAGCATTATGTAAGGGTGCAGCCCCTTGTGAGGTGACCATCCTCCAGTGAAGGCCACACATCCAAGAATAATATATGGGCTGCACAAATTGGACTTGAACGGTTTAAATAAAATGTGAGGATACAGTTAAGTGGGTTGTCAAACTGAGATGGATGTGGAGGAGTTTGGAATAGGGTATATATGACCAAAACATGTATATGAAACTCTCAAAAACTAATTAAATGAGAAAATAGGTGGAAGAAACTAATTTCTTATTTCTTGTCAGAAAGCCTACAACACTCAGATCTCCTTTTAAAATTTTATGAGAATATATAGTTTTATCATTTCTATCACATAGATTTCCTGGATAATTGGAGGCTGTTTTTCTTACATTGATTGCTTGGGTGTGCTCTTCCCCAAACTGGCTACTCTTCATCCCTCTGTCATTTTTTTTAATTTGCTAGTTTATTGTATTTTTTATCCAAAATTATTGAAAGTTTAGGGTTTTTTTTATAATTGTAAGAATGCCGTCTAAAGCTATGGGCCTTAAAAATAAATTGCAACGAACCTGCACATCATAAAAATATAAATACACTGTATTCTGTTTGAACTGACTAATATATGGCAGATTGATTTTAAACAAAACAATTGAATGGGGTACATATAATCCTCTAATAGCAACTTAATCTAGAAAGAACAATCCCATGAAATAAAAGATACTCTGGATATAAACATATGTTTTCAAATTTTTCTTATATGAAATATATCATAGACAAATTTGATAAAAAATTTAAAAGGATTGGTTAAATAGTGGTCTCTTGCTGATATAGAAATCAAAGGTATTACATTGTTATTTTAGATGGCATCTTGGGGAACCCAAAAAGGATCACCTCCTTCCAGACAGATCTGATTAAATAATGGTCAGATATGATAACACCCCTGCAAATCCATATGGTGAGACACACCGGTGAATCCAGGAGGTGACACACACCTGTGAATCCATGTGGTGACACACACCTGTGAATCCATGTGGTGTCACACACCTGTGAATCCATGAGGTGACACACACCTGTAATCCATACACTTGGAAGACTGAGCCAGAGGGATCTTGACATTTAGGACAGCGTGGACTATATATCCTGACCTTGTCTCAAAAACAAAAACAAAAAAAAAAAAAGGAAAAGGAAATGGAAAAAGAGCAGAAAAAAATCAAATAACCTCATAGAACCCATTGAGTTCTAGTTTACAAGTGTAGAAAAGGCCTGCTGGGAACAAAATTCAGTTTTTAGTTGTGAAGACTTTCATTGTTGTTGCTCCCCATCGTCACTGCTGTAGTGTTTGTTGCACAGTTATGAGTTTGGTCCCTGGAGAAAGGTTTATCCTGAACCAAACAACCATGAAAGAGTAAGGTCCCTTTGCAGATCTCCTCCCTGTCTTCCATTGGACCAAGAGGTTGGTTAGCCCCTAGTGAACGCTATAAAGGAAGACTGAACATCGATGAGATTTTTACCAGAGGCCAAAAGCAGTATTTGGCCGAAAATGTATTTTTACCCATTTTTTACAACCAATCAGAAAATATCTTTTTAAAAAACTAGTGATTAGCTTCATGAGGTGTAGTGGACATGACACGTATTGTGGGCATCACCCATGCACCCTGCTCACCTTCCAGCTGGCTCTGACTGGAGACCTCAGGACTCCCAGCAAGCAGAGCTAGAGAACTTCAGTCCATTTCACCTGAACAAGTATATGACTAAGAATTACAAGGAGGTGGTATTGTGCTTGTGCCTTTAAATTAATTCTGTTTGATAGCCAGACGTTATGGAAGTGAAAACAATTGTTTTCTGTCTCTCATGCTTAAATTAGAGGTAAGTGCAATATATAAGAAAAGTCTAAATAACCTCATATCAGGATCTGAGCATTAGATGACATTGTCATCTCAGTGGCTTTCACAGCAGGTCAGCTTCCCTTCTGCTTGCTGCTCAAGCAGATCTCAGCTCTCGGGAAAGTAACCTAAGTTAGAGGGGCATAAACCAAGCCTCTGCCTTCAGGGTTCATCTTTTTAAAGAGTAAACTTTATGTAAAACTTTCCCTTATTAATTGTATGCTGGGAAAGAAGATTCCTATTGTTTTTCTATATAGTTTAGAAAAAATATATTTGAAAGACCCTCTAATAAAGATATGAGGCACTTTGGGAGAGCATAAAATAATGAGGTGTCACAGGAAAGGAAATGTGAGTGAGTTTGAGGACAGCCTGGGATACGTGGGATCATGCCTCAAAAAACAAACAAACAAAAACTAAACTAAACTATCCTGAGGTACCGAGAAAATGGCTTAGCAGATAAATGCCTCATCACACAGACTTGATGACCTGATTTCAAAACCACAGAAACCACATTAGGCTGAGCACATGGTACTCTTCAAAATGCCAGTGCTTCCAGTGAGATGAGAGACAGATAGACTAGCTGGCCCTCCAGATGCCATATGCAACATGAACAACAAAAGAGAAATTCTGTCTCAACCAAGGTGTCCTGTGACTGTCATATATGTGCTGTGGTGTGGGTGCACAAACTAGCAAGCAGACACACAGATGAGAATACATTGAAACCTTATTTTCTGTCTTCTTTGTCTAAATCACTAATAGATGAGGGGAACCGAATGTTTTAGAATAAGTGGAGGAAAAAAACCAATGCTAATAGCTAATATTTTAATGACTGCATATAAAATTGTACTAAATAAATTTTCATATTGATAAAGTAGGTTTGAAAACCTAGTTTCTTGTGGATATTCTTTGGGATACATACTTTGTAGATAGTGTGGTTGTTATCTGACTACTTCCAAGATACTTAGGATTGTGACTACCCTCCTCCCAAAGTATCTCAGCATTTTGACACATGTGGCTGAGCAGCTGTGCTACTGTGGACCAATCACTGTCAGTTGAAACAAAAGATAACACCCATCCTTGGGATGCATTTCCTTGACTCCTGGGATTGAAGCTGACTGTTAGGGTTGTAACATAAATAATTCCAACAAATGCCTACAAGCAGACACTCTCACTGATTCTGAGGAGAAATTTAAGTGAATTCAAATAACAGGAACAATACCTATATCCCTCTCCCCAACAGCATTTACCCAGGGAGAAAGACTCCAGAAAGACCCATCCACTGAACAGCAAAACACCAAAGGAGCAGCTCTGTGACTGTAGAAACTGATGCAGTGCTGCCTACTTAAAATCACTTTGCCATAATCTGTTGTGAATCCTTAAACTCCTCTGAAAGGTTTGGCAGACACTTCACCTTTTGTCAATACATTTTTTTCACACTAACAGGATCAGTTTGTCAATGGATGAAGTACTGTGGCATCATCACTTCATAACTAATTGATGCAGCCAATAAGCATGTTCACTGGCTTTCTAACCCCAATTTGTGTTCCAGGGACACGGAGTCTGTACCATTTACCATGAATCTGGCAAATGAGAGCATCCCAGGGGAGTTCATTCTCTTAGGGTTTTCAGATCGGCCATGGCTGGAGCTGCCACTCTTTGTGGTGTTTCTGGTGTCCTATATCTTGACCATCTTTGGGAATATGATGATAATTCTGGTGTCCCGCCTGGATGCCAAACTCCACACCCCCATGTACTTTTTCCTCACTAACCTGTCCCTGCTGGACCTGTGCTACACCACGAGCACAGTCCCACAGATGCTCATCAACATATGCAGTGCCCAGAAGGTGATCAGCTACGGTGGCTGCGTGGCCCAGCTTTTCATTTTCCTGGCCTTGGGTTGCACAGAATGTCTTCTCCTGGGTGTCATGTCCTTTGACAGGTTTGTAGCCATCTGTAGACCTCTCTATTATGCAGTCATCATGCACCAAAGACGCTGCCTCCACCTGGCGGCTGCATGCTGGATCAGTGGCTTCACCAACTCAGTATTGCAGTCTACGTGGACCCTTCAGATGCCACGGTGTGGTCACAATAAAGTGGATCATTTCCTTTGTGAGATCCCTGCCCTGCTCAGGTTGTCCTGTGTGGATACGACAACAATTGAAGCTGAACTCTTTTTCGTAAGTATTGTCTTCCTTTTAATACCTGTGACTTTCATCCTCATATCATATACTTTTATTGTTCAAGCAGTGTTGAGAATCAGGTCAGCTGAAGGTCGGCGAAAGGCATTTGGGACATGTGGCTCCCATCTAATTGTCGTGGTACTTTTTTATGGCACTGCCATCTACATGTATCTGCAGCCCCCGTCCCCTGCCTCTAAGGACCGGGGAAAAATGGTGTCCCTCTTTTATGGGATCATCACCCCTATGCTCAACCCTCTCATCTACACACTTAGGAACAAAGAGGTAAAGTGTGCATTTATGAGGTTGATGGCAAGGTCTTCTTGGTCACAAAGTAAGGACTACAAAGGACGTCTATTTATATAAACTTTTGTAGCCTTATAAGTTTTACTGTTTTGGTCCCTATGGAACTGTTATGAAGATCCTCCTCTAATAAAATCTTTTTGACAGAAACCTATATTAGTGTTCTGCTGCCTTGATATAATCATTTCATGTGCTCTGAGATGTGACTTTAAAAAATGTAAAACAATTTTGTAGTCTTCTTTGTTATTTTCGCATTGCTTCCCGATCCCATTAATCTCACCGTCCCTTCGTATACGTCCTCTACCCTTACAACCTCATTCCCAAATAAATAAAATATGCAGAAAACCAAAAACAAACAAAATAAAGTCAGAGTGGAAGCTGTGGTGTGACCCAGTGAGTCACACAGTAAATGTTTAGGACAAGTCCATTCATCTTTACTTGCTAACTGTTCATTGCAATGTGGCATTGGTCTGGTTGGAGGCTTCTCACTTCTATGACACCATCAATACTGGGCCCTCACTGGGACTCCTCTTGGATATCCTGTTATTGCCCTGGAAAACCTGGTACTGCCCCTCGCTGGCTGAAGCACACAAGATATGGGCCCTGAATTTCACCTGGGCTGCACACTAGATCTGACCCCGTTGACTGTGATGTATGTGAGGCGACCCTGATGGAGTGATCTACCATATGGTGGTATCAGCAAAGCCCTCCCATCCTCTTGCCTCCTATGGCAGGAGAGACAGATGGCCTCTGAGGCATGAGAGCAGTGGAGCTGACTATGCTCCTTACCACCTGCAGTCATTGGGTCCTGTACCTTGCACATGCAAAACAGAAGAGCTGTCCCTGGAGGCATGGTGTGGGTGAGCCGGCCCTGAGGGCATGAGATCAGGAGAACTGGCCTTGATTCTTGCTGCCTGCTGCACTGGGTGAGCTAGCCAGGGCAGTCCTGGAGAACTCACTTTAGTGGGATATGAGGGAAAGTTGTTAGGCTTAATAATCTAGCTACTACCCAGGCCCAGAAACAGGGCTATAGTTAACCCACCACAACATCCACTTCATCCCTGAACTGCTGAACATGTGAAGGTGCAAGACCTGCAGATCCCTGTAGAATCTCCATGACAATAGAAGTGACTTTTATGATCCTCCCAAACAGCTAACTCTACAAACTTTACATTTTCAGGCTTTATACCATTTTTATGCTTGGCAAGGTTTCTTCAACATCTCAGAGTCTAAAATACATTTGTGTATCTTTTCCTAAGAAATAATACATTTTAATACATATGGATATTCTCATCTACATGCAAAAGTCAGAACTCTACTACTTTTTCAGACATTTGTAGATCTAGCTATTTCTGTAACAACATTTGTGCCTTCTTCTCCCTAAACTGAAGTGCCTGTGTCATGAGACCTAGAGTGAAATTACACACTGTTTAAAAACAACACTGCACTAAAAAAGTACACTGATAATTTCTGCAGTTTTTTATATCTTTAATTCTTTTATTTTTGTAGTTTCGATTTCTCTTAGAGTCTTAGTGTATGTCATCTACCTAAAAATGAAAAATAACAAAGCTGTGTTTTACAATCTGAATCAAACTTCTTTTGGGCATTTTGAACAATTTCTCCTGTACACATGTTTCTCTCCTTTAATCACAAAAGGCAACTTGCAGTGTAAATGATTTCTCAGAAGCTCCTCATACACTGATGTCTACCACTTATTTAACTCACTTTTCATATGCAAGAAAATGCTTACTGAATCCTTATTAGTTCCCTTGAGATTTGTACATCTTCCATATGGCTTTTAGAACGCAACAAAGTGCTGAAGAATATTATTTAACTTCTTTATGTGTACTGGTGTTTTGTCTGCACATATGTCTATTCACCATGTGCATGCAGTGTTCATGGAGGCTCGAAGAGGGCATTTGATCCTCTAGATTCACAGTTACAGACAGTTATAAGACACTATGTGGATGGTGGGAATTGAACCCCAGTCCTTTCTGTAAAGATAAGACTTTAGGCCCACAGGGATAGGATAGATAATAAAATACTTTCTTTAAATCTTACTAAATGTTAATGGACAAAATATTGTAACTATAGTTCTTATTTGATAACTGTTCTGTTACATATAATTTGACTATGTTAAAGTTAAAACCTTTCTTTTTATTTTATTTAGACAGAAAAGAGATGATGGAAGATGTCATTGTGCCAATATACCTCTCTTATTGGTTGAGAGTAAAGCACTATTGGCCAATAGGGAAGCAAGATGGGAGGGACTAGGAGTCAAGAAGGATTCTGGGAAATGTAGTCAAGAGTAGAGGGTGATCCCCGGGGAAGAGAGGAAAACACATCAGGATGCCATCCTCAGAAAGATAGAAATATATATTAGTAGTCATGGGTTAATACTTAAGACAGAACTAGCCAATGAGAAGCCCTGGACATTGGCTGACAGAATTGTAACTAATAAAGTTTCTGTGTGTTATTTTGGGGGCTAAAACTGACAGGACCCAGGTGGGAATCTGGCAACACCTTTCAAAAAGCAACCGGCATTCTTTGATTCCCAGTGTCCACATAGCCACAAATAATCATTTACCACCACAGTCCCAGGAGATCTGATGTCTATAAATATACATGATTGTATCATAAATGTTTTTTATCATATATAGTTTTACTCTATTAGAGTTAAAATCCTTTCTTTTCTATTTGGATAAAAGGGGAAATGTTTTCTATTTAGATAAAAGGGGAAATGTCATATGATATTTGATTACACTGTGAAAAGATGTGTCACTGTTATTGGTTTAATAAAGAACTAGATAGCCATTAGGTGGGCAGGAAGAGGTTAGTTGGGACTTCTAGGAACAGAGAGCCCTGGGAAGAAAAAAGAAGGTAGGATTACCAGCCAGCTGCAGAGGAAGCAGGACATGCAGGAGGTAAAATCCACGAGTCACATGGCAATATGTAAATGAATAGAAATGGGTTAACATAAGTTATAAGAGCTAGTGGACAAGACTAAGCTACAGGCTGAGCTTTCATAATTAATAAGTCTCTATGTCATTTTCTGTGAGCTGGATGCCCAAGGAAAAATTGACCACAAGAGGTACTGAGTGTGATTTGACATGTGGGTGCCTGGATCAAGAGGTTTCAGAGAAGACTGTTAGCACAAGGCCTAGAGAGCAGATTTGTGATATTTTGGTGAAGAAAGTGGCTGCTGTTTGCCTTTGTCCAAAAAGTATGCCTGAGGCTAAAGTGAAGAGTTTTGGATTAATCCAGTTGACAGAGGAAATCTCAAAACAGCCTAGTATAGACTCTGTTGTGTGGTTATTAGTGTTAACTCTGATAAAGAAAGTAGAGCAAGGAAAAAATACAAAATGTACAAATTAAAAAAGGGAGCACCAGGAAGTGGAATAGAGCTAAATCCTGTGCGCAAGAAGACAAATAGATTAAGAAATTGAATAAAAGGAGTGTTAACTTCAGGGCAAGATCCTGCCCTGCTACGTTTCCAACCTGTGAAAAGGAAATAAAGAAAAGCTTGGAGCCCGGTGTGGTGGTGCACACCTTTAATCCTAGCACTCCAGTGGCAGAGGCTGGTGGATCTCTGAGTTTGAGGCCAATCTGACCTACAGAACAAGTTTCAGATAGCCAAGCTTAGTTAGTGAAAGCAACTATTGAAAACAGAAAATTGGCGAAGATGTAATTGAAAGATCTTTGAGGTCAAGGCCATCCTGGTCTACAGATGCAGTTTCAGGATGGCCAATTCTAGGTAGTGAAGGAACCATGGAAAACAGAAAATTGGTGAAGATGTAGTCCAATGAGGGGCCATGTTCCAGGCTGAATAGGCAGCACAACTTGGCAGCTTTGGCCACATGGGTCTGGACTGGCTCCACTACTAAGGAAAGCCTCTGAGGCATGTGTAAGGGGTGTCCCTGAATGGAGACATAAAGAGTACCTTGCATGAAGCTATGAAATTGAAGCCTAGATTGCCTTAGAGACCCCAAGATGTTGGAAATGCCAGAGTTGTGTGATACCTGCTGAGGAGAGCTGCTAACAGGGAGTGGAACTGGCTCAAGAGAAAAGAAGTGTGTTTGAAGATCTGACTAGTGTTTTGAGATCAGACTTAGAGATGTAGAGTTTGCAGTTTGCCCAGCTGGTTTTTGGTCTTACTTTGGTTCAGTATTTCCTCACTATGTTCCCTTCCATTTGTTTTAGAATGGTAATGTATATCCTGTGCATTATATGTTGGAAGTATGCCACCTGCTTGTTTATTTTGATTTTCTAGGGCATCATAAATTAGAGATTGCATGAATCTCAAAAGAGACTTTGAACTTTATACTTTTAAATAAGTTTAAGACTGTTACAGACTATGGGTCTTTTGAGATTTAACTGAATACATTTTTGCATTATGATATGGCTACAAACCTTTCAGAGCCAGAAGATGGCATGTAGTTGTTTGAAAGAAAAAGGCCCCCAAAGAGAGTGACGCTTTTGGAAGGTGTGGCCTTGGAGGAAGTGTGTCATTAGCTATGGAGGCCTGCTTGGAATTCTGATATATGCTCAAGATACCACCCAGTGTCTGAGACCACTTTCTGTTGCCTGCAAGATATAGGACTCTCAACTACTTCTCCAGAACCATACCTGCCTGCATGCTGTCATGAAACTCTGAATTGTAAGTAAGTCACCACAATTAAATGTTTTCTATCATAAGAGTTGCTGTGCTCATGGTATCTCTTCACAGTAATCGAAACCCTAAGACAACAATGAAAGTTTTAAAACACTGAAAACAGAAATTGAAGAAGATAACAGAAGGGAAAGAACTGCCCTGCTCATGAATTCATAGAAATAGCAATGTGAAAATGGCCATCCTGCCAAAAGCATTTCCAACTCAACCACCATCACAATTCCAATGCAATTCTTCACAGAATTAAAAAATATCTTATTTTGTATGGAAATACAAAAGACAAAGAACAAGGAAAACAATCATGAGCAATAAAAGAGATATTGGAGGAATCATCATGCCAGATTTCAAGTTATACTACAGAGTTATAGTAAAAAGAACAGCATAGTATTAGTAT